GTACAACAATGCCTTGAGTAGCACGGTTACGGTGGCAGCGATAGAGTTAAATCACTGAAACAGGCGGATAAGTTAAGGATCCTACGGAACGAGAGGGCTACTATGATTGGATCCGAAGGGAGAGGATTGTGGATTAAATAGCAGCCTTGGGTCAACACTCCATGAACAGTAGAAGGGATTTGGGAACCAGTGGTACGTACAAATGGGTTTCAAATAGGCTTAGATAAACAACTACGAAATAGTGATATTTAAGGGGTGGTATAAGAAATGTGAATAGCCCAGCTCGCAACTGTTTAGCACGCGTTTGGTCAAAGGATCTGCTTTTCTTGTCTCTTTGACGAGTTGTAGTGTAGTGCTAAGAATGGCAAGGCTCACTGACGATGCCCACTTCGATTCCGTCGAAACAACAAGTACTATCAAACTTTAACCATTCTTATTGAAAAAAAATCAAGCCTTCAGACCTTTATTCGACCTTTCATTAGCTTCAATCCAATAAAGCTTAGTATTATAAAATGCGGAATCAATTCTTGGGTTGAATTAACCAATCCATTGATTACTGTATTTTGTCTAATGCAATATTTCCCCGGGTCTGGACTATTTAATTGGTCGTTTTATCTTTTCCTTCTTAATTTAGGAATATTTGGATTCCATTTAAAAAATGTATCCTGCTATCTCTTTTAATCTTCTTTAATTCGTCCCCAGAGCTTCGTTTTATAATTCCATTATGTCGTCCAAAACTAATTTTAGTTATGCCTTCACATAGTCACAATTATTCTCATGACCGAATGTCCTCAAGCCAGCAATTTCTATGGTGAATGCTTTTGCCTGGGCTTCTTACACGATGTCCTACTTTTAATACAATTCCAAAATCTTTTTATATAGGCCTTTAAAAATTATGCTTATCTTTTGAATTCAATATTGTTCATATTAAGTAACTGTTAAATCCGTACATTTTTTTGACGCACTTAAAGTTGTTTGATATTGAAGGTCGGTCCCCCTTGCACATGGCCTGTGCATCACTCTCCTTTGAGGCTGTTTCATTTTTACTCGCTCACGGAGCCTTGGTACACTCGCTCGACCAGCGTCAGGTCAGCCCACTGATCTACGCCATTAAGGCCGTCTCGGATAGTCAAAACCGACTCAGGATAAACTCATCCGAGGCCATGCTGAAGGTCTCAATTGGTACCACCGATTTCGTCAAACCCGAACGGACCCACTCATTTCTTGCTTCTGTCTCTGCTGCAAAGGAGACTTCAGAATGCAGTGCTACTGATGCATTCTCCGATCCCAGCCTCTTGTTGGCCGCTCGCCTCGTTCGCTTACTTCGGCTGTCTGGCGCCCATCTGCCATGTGGAGAAACGGAACGCGCGACCATAATAAATGAGGCAGCTGCTCATGGAGATTTACGTCAGTTACGACTCTTTCAGCTGGCTGGAGCCAGTCTCGAGGTCTGAAGTTATTAATTTGTTTTTCCTATCTTAGTCCCAGTTTATTTTCTCTTCTTGTCATATATCGTTTGAAAGGTTGGCTTTTAGATACTACCAGTAGATCCGATATAGTTTTATTCACCTTATTTTGTCTAAGGTGCCTAAGGACTGATAGTTGAATTTTCCCACAATTATATGAATAGGTATTACCTTTCCATTGAATGTCGCGTGGTCTTTATTCTCAAAAGGTATTCTTTTCCAGGCTGAAGTGGTCTGAAGTTTCGACTTCGCCCAGGCCTCGTCAACACCCCCAGCGGGACTCGAACCGTGATAGTGCGGCATACACTCCCTAGACGTTAAAGACTATGTGAATTTCTTAGCATCCTGTCTTCCCCACTAATTTAAGACATTTGATTTCATTATTTCTTGTCACCGAGCCTGTTTCGATTGCATCCAGTTATTTAATTTTTATTCGCAATTCTTTATTTCAAGTCCCCTGACCTATTTCTACAATTATGAATCTAAATCAATTTGATAAGGCTGAAATCATATCCTTTATATAGAATAATATTATTAAAAGAGCAACCCGATGTCCAATTTATTAGCTTGTATCATTTTGAAATGAAGGTCGACTGCCGATTAAAGAATGTTGCATAAACAGATTCTTTCTTTGCTGATACTAAATAGGAGAGCAGTTCGTTTACAGCCTAGGTGAACTGGAGTTTCTATTCACCTTAAGTCTCGTTTTTATGCCCGAATGTAGTCGAGACCAGGACGTTTCTTTACAATGACAAAAAGGATTTGAGGCAAAATCCCCAAGGCAAAAACAAGGTTAAACCAACACACAATTTATAGGATTGAATGGCAATTCGACGTTGGCTTCATAGGATTTATTATAAACCGCAATAAATTTGTGAAAGCAAAACGTAATGATGATTTTTATGGCTTACTTTTCTTTTATATGCAGTCTGAATTTTGCTTGTTCAGAATGTTTTTATTTATTTATTCATTGATAGTAAATTGTAATTATATATTGCTAAGTAATTAACAAATAATGTTTATTCCTTATTCTTTAACTTGGGTTCTCTGAGGGCTTCCTATTGATGTTAATGAATTTTTTATGTCGACTTATTCGATTAATTAATTTATTATCATATTCAAAATGTATTTGCTGAAGGCTTTGAATAATTTATCTCTGAAGATAGTGGAAAATTACATGCATTTATCATTGGTACATAAGTAAAGAATTACCACTGTCATGCAAAATACAAGAGCCTAATTCGAATCGTGCAAGCAGAAATAATGAGGTAATGTATAATTCCTGAGTAAATGATGGACTATAAATAACCTGATTAAAAGCTCCTAGCATATTTATAATTTATGGAAGGTATGGGGACTAGGATTGGATGGAGTTTTATATGGTCGCGGTCTCGTTTCGTTGTATAGAAGTTGTTTGAACTTATTTTTTGTAACTTGGTCAAATTGGCAGGAGGACCTAGAGGAGCGCATCTTGTCTGGAGTCCATAGTATGCATGATCATTTCCAGAGTCGGACCGTTGACTTGGTACATTCCCAGACGTTTCGCCGACATTGAAGTCGGCATCGCCAGTGAGCCTGGCTATTCTTAGCACCAAAGTACAACAGGTCAAAGGGATAAATGAAGTGGATCCTTTGCTCAATTGTGTGCTAAACAGTTGTTGTATCGCTCCTGTCCTGGACTATTCACTTATCCTATATCCTCGTATCACCCCTTCAATATCACAATTTCTTACTTGTTTATCTAAACCTATTCGAAACCTATTCACGCGCACCGCTTGCTTCCACATCCCTCCCACTGTGACAGGAGTGTTGATCCAATGCTGTGGTTTAATTCGGAATTCTCTCCCTTCAGGTCCTATCACGGTCCCCTCTTGCTCCATATTAACCTTCCTTTATCTGCCAGTTTTAGTGATTTCACTCCATCGCTGCCACCGTATCCGTACTACTCGAAGCGTTATGTTCTACACTCTGTATCAAGCCTTTTATAGCACGTATACACCAGCCTCATTGAGCAGGCCCCTAAAGTCTGGATTCTCAATTGACATGGCAGCTTAAACTGACACAGCAAATGTCCTTATCGCTGTGCGGCATGGGCCCTGAGTAAATCTCGTGATCACTCCTTTACTTCATGGACGACGTCTATGAACAAACTTATCTACTATTAGCTTTGTAGAGTGTATAACATAACGCCTCGAGTAGTACAGATATGGTGACAGAGATGTAGTTAAATCATTTAAACAAGCAGATAAGTGAAGGATCCTACGGAACGAGAGGGGTACTATGATAGGATCCGAATGGAGAGGATTGCGGATTAAACAGCAGCCTTGGGTCAGCACTCTATGCACAGTGGAAGCGATTTGGGAACCAGCGGTGCGTGTGAATCGGCTTCAAATAGGTTTAGATAAACAACTAAGAAATAGTGATATTCAAGGGGTGATACGAGGATATAGGATATATGAATAGCTCAGAACAAAAGGAGATATACCACAAACGTTTATCACACAATTGGTCAAAGGACCTACTTCACTTGTCTCCTTGACGAATTATAGTGTTGTGCTAAGAATGGCAAGGCTCACTGATGATGCTGACTTCGATGCCGGCGAAACGTATGAGAATGTACCAAGTCTATGTTCCGACTGAAAATGATCGTGTCCACCATGGATTATTTAAGCTTTTCGGTATTATAGGCATATGCTTCCAGTAACATTAAATTATAAAACAGATGTGACTTTCAAGGCGACCCAGTCCCAGTCGAAATATGCTTTTCTCATGTCGGATTTTAACCCTACCGTATTGAGTATTGCTGTCGGGTACTCGAATACACGATTGTGTGTTTAAGTCGCTTGAGTACATAAAAATCTTTCAGACTAGTAGCGTTGTTCAAATTTAATTGCGTTTTCAAGGGCGTTATTATGCTCTTTATCCCATTTTTAATAAGTTTTATTTATATTTGTTTCAAATAACCTTGGTGAATCATAGACAGGAAGATCACGATGGTATGGCCTTTTCCTTAGTAGCAGTCTCCTTTAGCTGTATAGTGTTGGTTTGATCTCGTTTTCGCAACTTGGTGACTGAGAGACTGTGAGAAACTTACTTAGTTTTACCTTCTGGGCCATTGCCTTCCAGCGTCGGACCGTTGACTTTGTACATTTTCAGATGTTTCGCCAGCATCATTAGTGACAGGCGCCAGCCTTAGCACAAAGTTGCAGTTTTCAAAGTGACAGGTGAAGGCAACATTTTTCTGTTGAACCGTTGTGCCTGTTGTGTCGTCTTTCCTCCCCCCTGTCATAGCTTCTAGCGCTGTATCTCAATACCCCAACTCCACTCCATATCGCCAGTTTACCTATCCACACCCTTCTCTGTCTTGGTTTGTCGCAATGTCGCCTAAGGGCGTGTTATTTCAAGTGGATCTAGTGAAGCATAACTACCTTCACCACTGACGCTCAAATTTGATTACTTTTTCAAGGGCGCTAATTTTCTCTATATTGCATTATTAATACATTTAATTTAGGATTCTTTAAAATCGCCATATTAAGACAAATTTTCTAACACGCGAATGCGAATTTGATGCGCAACCTGGAAGTCTTATTATAAACACATCCCTTGGACTTTTGCCTGATTTCATTAGTAACTTCACTTCCAAAGGTCACGAAAATTGTAATCGCACTCTATGCCACACCTCTCTCGGTTATCTCTCAACTCATGCAACGCTAAGCGGATCGCCTATCGGCTCTATGCCCCGTAGGGACTAAGCCAACTTAGTTACCGCATCAAGCCTCTCCATTGAACCAATCAGAACGTACACAAGAGTGGTTTTAATTCAAAAACTCCCTAGGCTAGGACTTCTTTCCCCGTCGTTACCCTGTTTGATCCTCTGTGACCAAACACCTTATTGCACCAACACCACACTCCGACATTGTCTGTGTTTTTCCTACATCGAAATCTTTGCACTCCGCGACTCGTTTTCTTGTTCCTCTCTACAAGGCTGGCGCATCCTATACAGTAGGGCGAAGCCGAGCAGATATAGTGAATATTTTAGATCCATTAAATGGGAATTGCCTGGCCTCCCTTGAGATTAACGTCTGACATTTGACCCAGAGTGATTAGTGGCAGTATGGAGTAGTGCTTAACGTGTTGAAACTATACTCTGCACTACCACAAACCTGGGTCTAGTTCCGCTGAAGGTGTGGATGGAACCATTTTAGGCCAGTTGGTGACTGCAATACTCTCCAGCCTGAATGAGAATACCTTCTGAGAAGCAAGGCTATGTGGAATTAAGTGGAAACGTAAGGTCTACTCGAATGATTGTGGGAAAAATTTAACTATCAGCCTTTCATCACCCTAGACGAAATAATGTGAATACAGGTCTTATACAATGTATGTTGGTTTTATCGATATCTACTTATAAACCTAAGTATATCTGCAAACATTGAAAAATGCTAATGAATCGCTATTCCAGAATAATCACACATTCTTGTGTCCATTGAATCAAGTATTCTCATTAAAATTACAACCCCAAATAATTTTCCAATTTAAGCATATGATTAAGTGAAAAATCTTTGCTATCTATGCTAGAGAATAAATCTAAGTTCTTGTTTTTATTGTATTATTAATTGCCTTATGAATCTTTTTCCTATTACGCTCTAGGAAATAGACCTTGAGGGACGCCGACCAATTCATGTAGCCGTGGCTTATCAACAAATCAAGACGGTCATTTATCTAGTCTCCCCTCTGCCCGACTATGGCAATCAAGTGATAGAGGAAATTTTCACTCATAAGGTTGATAAACTAGACAAGGTAAGCACTCCAATAGTCTTACAAAATCCAATTATTGAGTTTACTTCCATTTGGAGTGAAAGTGTTAGATGAAGAGATTCGAAGGTCGGTTCCACCAGAAAACG